TTAAGTGTATCGTAAAGTTGTATTCGGAAAGAATAAACCAGTTTTATTAATTAAGGACTTGTGTCGCTAAAGTTTCGTCGGAACGAAGTTACGGAAAGTTAATTAACGAACGGAGACGTAACAGTGTGTTTAAGTTAAAGTGACTGTGAAAATTCTGTGTATTGCAAAGTTGTGTCGAGAAAGAATAAACTAGTTTTATTTAAGAAAGGACTTGTATCGCTGAAGTTCTTCGGAAAGAATTTTTTTATGAGAAATTAACAAACGGACAGAGACGTAACGCACTATAGAATCAGATTATGCAATCTATCTGAGAATGGAGATCCACAAGACTGTCTCTGGTTTATAATGCGATCATGAGAGGAAAAGAGGTCGAGAAATACTATCTTAAAACGTATATCAGTTGTTGAATAGTGTAACAGGAGAGTTGACATTGATAATCTTACACAGGCAGGTGCATTAAAGAAGCTTGTAAATGTTTAGGTTTTCCTGATTGTGGTTTAGAAATATTTTTCACTGTTCAAAAGCTACATATTGTTTACACTTATACTCAGGTGGAGAACTATGGCTTTACTTAGTGAATGACTCAAAATCCTATCACGGCAGTTGGAGTGAATCTTACAAGAGTGTTTTTGTGGAAATCGTTCATAGGTCATTTTTGACTCTTTGTACAAGAATTAAATAATCAGAATCTAAGGGAATTTATAATCCAACTGCACAAAATTTTTGAAATGTTGTAGTGTGAAATAATCACCTCCTATGGTTACTTTTCTTCCCTTTTCGACTTGTCCAAGAATTTAACATGATGTTATAAATAAAATTCTTAAAACCATAAAGTCTAACTGAACCTTTTTTCTATTATGTAGTTTAGGGTTTTATATCGTGTATGTCCAAAGTTCTATTGATAGTGCTTGTTTTTATATCACACAAACATTTAAGTCTTGAAATAATGTTGAAAAAGTAAATAAAATACTTGACACTATTTTACAAAAATATAACTAACAATCTTTCTTCAAGATACGGTGTATGTATTTATGTGATACATCAAATGGTCGTCTTTTATTAGAAAGCTAGATCCAAACTGTTTTCTCTCTCAAGATTTGTTCCAGACTGATCAAAATTTACATTACTTAGTTAAATTGGTAATGTCAGGTTTACCCATACTGAATAGCATTAACAAGGTGCCTGGTCATTTTTGTTTGAAGAATGAGGTAGATTGTAGCCTCGAGATATCATCTAACCTACCATTGAAGAAAAAAGTTGTCTACTTTCGTATACAAGCTGTGAATTTACATCTATTTATACAACAAGCAGATCAAATGTTATCTCCAGGGAACATAAGAGAACAATAAATGGCTAGAGTGAACGTAACTTAATAGCTTTCTTGACCAGGTATTATGTGACACAATGAGCATATACCCGAAAAATATAGATTAAAATAAAAAGGTAGAAAATGCATGGTATGCCTCCATGCCACATTTTCCCTCTCCCTTTACTTCAGGTTTGTCCTTAAGCCAACGTTAATTGTAATTATTAAACCCAAATATTCACACATGCACTAAAGTACTATAACCTTCTCTCATACGTGTAAATATATTTACATGCAACATAGCCCTTTAACAAAGAATTCAGTACAAAGTCAATTATCTTTTAATAATGATGTACAGTCCAACTATAATTTAAGGTGAAAGAAAATACAAAAATAAATTTTACTATACAGCACAATGTCGTATTGCAAACCCTTTCACAGTGAGCTTTATACATAATATTTAGTATTTTTGTGTCACAAGAAAAACATCGTAATACAGAATACCAACAAAATGTTTCATCAATGATACAAAAGTATAATTACAAAAAAACATCCTTTATAACAGAATATAATGAAGTGAAATACAAAATACAAGGCATATAAGTCCTTTACCAATAACATTTCAATTATTACACAGTAGAACAATATCAAAAACAGGACAAAAATGCAAATGGACCCTTCAAACAATTAAATTACGAACGTAATCTTTAATATTGATTACACAACAGAATTGTGGACAATGGAATCCAAAATAAATCATCTAACAATATAAAATGTGCAATAACTGTTGCTTCATACAAACACAGAAAGTGCCTTTAACATTTAAGCATGAAACAGAAATCAAAAGAACATACTAAAGGAACAAAAATAAAATAAATAAACCCTTTAACACTTTATATATGAATATAATCCTTTGACAAAAATCATAATTATAAAACAAAAATTTCAATGCAAAATAAAACAAACACTTCAAGTGATAATAATAACATTAGCTCGAAAAAAAGAGTGAAATATAATTTGTAAGAAAGGCACATAATAACAAGTTGCGAAACTTAACAGATGCCAAAAAATATAACAAGTGTCTAAATTTGAGACCCCCTTTGAGCTTGAGGCCCAGGCCAAATGGCTTTTCTGGCATTCCCTCTGATTGGCCCTACTTTTCATAAAAAATGCTTATAAATTTTATGACTAAAGCTTATAAAAAAATTTCAAAAGATGAAAAACATAACAATAATGTATTGTAGCGCTATCTAGTGGGTTGAAAATCTATTTAAGTTCTTTTTACATATACAGTCACTCATAATATAACATAACGTTTTGGGACAACAAGGGACCTACTTATCTCAGCTGTTCCGTCCTCTAAAGTAAACGAAAACTATTAATGAATAAATCTATAAAAATCTTAAAGACAGCCTTTATCATTCATATACTTATTAATCTTTCTCTTAAACTCACTTAAATTTACTGCCTCCACAACATCTGAAGGCAACCCATTCCAAAGGCAAACCACCCTTTTAGAAAAATAAAACTGTCTTAACTGAAGATGACTCTTACCTTGCCAAAATTTATACTTGTGTCCCCTAGTCCTACTATTCTCACTGTTAAGTATGAAAACGGATGATGCATCAACACTATCAATTCCCTTTACACTCTTAAACACCTCAATA